GACGCTCTTGGCCTTATCGTCCCAATGCCCACTGCTTCCGAGTTCTTCATTGTTTACTTCGGTTCTCCAAGAATCGCTGTTGCATTTAACGATTCAAGATCCGAGCTCATCGAAATGGAAAGAAGGTGGAGTCATTTGGCTGCAATTTCTAGACCGACACCTTGAGGACAAGGTGTCTTTCGGGCGGGCGATAATGATAGGCTCCTAGAAGTTAATTAGTTAGGTGATTGATTAGCTGTTGCTACTTGTTAGTATTCTCTTGAGCATTTATTTATCAGTTTGTGAAAAGGGTTAGCGGTATAAAAGGGAGAGGCTAGTAGTCAATAGGGATTATGGACTGACTGGTGAGAGTTTAGGGGCAACCCTTGGGGAGAGCTAGCAGACCTCTCAAACATCTGCGAATCTATCTTGTAATCTCTTTCAATTATTTCATCAATATAGTTTTACTTTTTTTGTTCAATTCCCCAATTCAAGTCCGGTTGTTATCAAATTGTTACAACCCTTAAGTAGAACTCATCCCTAAAAGCTAGCTTGTAGAGAGAGGGTGCCTAAGTAGTTATAAACCCACATGCTAAACCTATACTTAAACAATGTGAGACTCAACTAAGATCCTAACATACCACCACGCTTCTGACACCGACGTCCATGGCGGCCCACTCTGAATGGCCCACTCTAGTCTTTCTAGGTTGCCCGTCCCGAGGTCGCCCTTCCACAACGTGGACCTAAGGTGGGGCATGCTCTCATACCAATTATTACAACCCTTGGGTAGAACTCATCTTCAAAAGCTAGTTTGTAGGGAGAGCGTGCCTAAGTGATTATAAACCCACATACTAAGCCAATATTTTAGCAATGTGAGACTCAACCAAAATCCTAACATCGTCTAGAACGTAATATACATTATAAAGAAAAAAAATACTTACAAGCATCACCGTACTAAGCACTATAACTGATAAAAGGCGGGCCTCTCTTATGAGTGCCGTGTTGTGGATCTCACTCTGTATTAGTGTATGTTGCTAAAGCATCACTGGTGCCTCTTAGAATTGCTCTATAACAAATGTACCTCAACCCTAACACAATAAATTATTTAAGAGTCACTTGGAATCAATGAAACTGAGAAATCATGACAAGAAAGGGCCTAAACATCTACACAAGTACAAAAATAAGTAGCTTCACTATCCCAAAATTGGTAGACAATGACTACAGAGTACTTCATATATGAAATTTCGTCCACAAATGGGAAACTGATACCCCCAAGTCGCTAAATTCCTTTATGCCCACAAACCTTAATTAAGTACTTTTAAACTTTACGGATCAACCATTTGACGCGCCAAACGTACAATTCAGCACTCAAACAAACAGATAGAACTTACAAAGTCAACAAAAATAACACAACCAAAAACAACAAATTTCCAAGAACTTATGTTCACTGACCCAAAAAAAAAAAGGGAAACAAAATTTCAAAAACCGAAAACTGAATTGAGTTCTCAAAAGATCACCTGCGCTTGGCAAGAAACTCGAAATCGAGGATTGGGAAGAAACCCACCTCGTCTTTCAACGCATTTTCCGAGAAAAACACTTCCACAGGTGAATTTAGAGCGAGAAAGGAGTTGAAGCGAATGCCCACGATCAGAAGAAGCGACCCAGATGAGATTCGACGTTAAGGGAAGAGTAATCGCCATTGGATTTGAAGAAGAAATCGTAAGATTTTGATGGTTCATTAGAAAAGCTCCAACCAAAGTAGAGAGAGATGAGATGAGATATTGAAGTCTTCGCCAAGGAGAGAAGGTGAAGGTGTATGGGCCTCTCTTTTTTTTTTTTTTCCTCCCTAAAAGGCCATAATTAATGGGGAAAGTCTCTCCCTGTGAGTTTGTTGACTTGGACAAACGGTACGAGAAAATTCTTTGTTATTTTGGTTGAAAAGTTGTTACATTAGTCCTCTTCTTGCTCTATTTTTGGATTATGTTGTACAGCTTTGTCAGCCTACTTTTTTCTTATAGATATGCACTAGTATTTTACACGCCGGTAATAGTTTAAGTTATATAAGAAGTTGGTAATTTTGATGGTATAAAATTAGTTTATGTACGGATATCTATATTAGTCATCAATCCAATAGGAGATAATTTTGTACCTTAGAAAAAGTTAATAATTTGTATATAATAGAAATAAATTATTTATGTATATTTATACATAAATATATACATAGGACATTGTTATATTAAGTTATTTATAATAAATATATAAATATATATAAAATATATTGTTATATGAGGTTATTTACAAAATATATATATCACATATTATCATATAAAGTTATTTACAATATATATATCTCTTTCTTCTTCTTTGCTGTTGTGGTCCATCTGTTTTTTTCAACTGTAAAATATAAATTTTAAAAGATATTAGTATTAGTAATTGGAAAAATTGAAAATAGTAGGATTTAGACGTAGTTACATTACCTAGTTCGTGGACGTTTTCTTGGTTGTTCTATTCCTTTGCCCTTGGAACTATAATAATAAAAGATTAATAAACTATGTATTTAAAATTATAAGTATTGTTTTTTATTTATAAATAATGTGAAATAGTAAATATGTATTACCTGGTGGTTGATTTTTTTGGGTCTGGTGTATGCGGATCTATTGATGTTGTTGTTCTTGAGCGAGGGCTAAGCTTGTAAAATATTGTTTAAATATGTATTTAAAGTAACAAATATGTTTTTTTATATATAATTAATAAAGATGAGTAAATATGTTTTACCTTGTAATTGATGTTGCAGGTGTTGATATTTGTGGTGGTGCTGTTATCAATTCAGTTTTTTCAAATATTTTTGTGACAATTGTAGTAATTTGAGGTCCTTTTCTTTAAAAATGTATTTAGAAGATCTTTGTTTTACCTCTTAGTTGGTTGATGATTGGTGGGATTGTGAATGGGTCCATAAATCCTTCGTCAATTGTTAATGTTGAGCATGGTTTTTTTATAAGGCTTGTGCTGCTCTGTCAAATATGGTAATATCCATGTTTCCTGTATGATCCTCAATATATGTGCTTAGTCTATACCTGCAATTTATAAGATAATAGATCATTTAGGTTATATAGTATATTTATAGTTTTAATTACCATGGAGATGGTGTTGTCTTTATGTGTCCATGGCTATCACACCACCAATTGGTTCTCGCCTATTTTAGCTGTCAATGGCATCTAGGGTAGGAGTTATAATATCAACCTTGATTTGCTGAGAATTTAGTTATAGTGGCCTTTACTGTGAATTTAGTGCCTATATACATGCGGAAAGATTTTTAGCTTAAATAGTGTAATTAAAGGAAAAGAAATAGATGGAATATTATGATACTAACTTGGTTGTTTTCCTGATCCAGTGTCTTTAGTTCATCAATTGTTCTCCTATTCATTATTTTTTGCTCTTCAATAGATTGTGTTGGTACTGTTGATGCTATTGAGAAGTCAATTTCTTGAATAAAAGCATAAAAAATTTACATCTATGAAATGGAATAGACGGTGCTTGTTCTGTAACTGGAACGAAGACTGTTGCACGGGCAAACTGTAGCATTGCAATATGTGGGACAACTTTGTATGTTGATTTGTTCTCAGTGACGAAGAAGTTGCTAATATCATATATATTGCCTAATTGAATTTTTTGATAAATAGAATCTGAATCTAATGCCCAAATTGATCCTTCAATTGCTTCATGCTGCAGACATAATAGGTAGTATTGTTATTAGATTTATAATATTTGGTATTAAATAAAAAATAATAGAATATTGTATTTGTTAAAAAATATTATCTCTTCGTCGACTAAAACACAATCAAGACTGATAAAACGTCCAGTGCTCAGATCATTATTCGTCCATAATTTCCAGATTCTAGCCCTGATAGTTTCATAAACTTCATTTAGTTTTAGGGCTCGAATTAATGTCGTCAATTTAGCTAACTATTGGCAAAAAAAGGTAATTGTTTTAGTGCATAAAAATAAGAAGCTTTATTCGATATGTTTTTGATAGTTGAATAGTAAGCAATTTTGATTATAAAAGAAGATTATGAATCTAATATTTAATTTATTATAATATTTGTATTTTTATATGGTATTTTATTTCTTTATTTGATATTATGTCGAATTTCTTTGTAAACAATATTTTTCTATAATTTAGATATTTATTAATTGAATTATGAATTAGTATAGGCAATCCTTTAGGAGTTGTAGCTCTTGATAAAGCAACGTATAGTTGTCCGTAGATAAAAATTTTGCTATCTAGATATAATCGTATTCTATTCAAAGATTGTACTTGGATTTTATTTGTTGTCATTGCATAGCAAATTTTAATAGGAAATTGCCGTCTTTTTAGTGTAAATGGCCATTTAGATTCATGTAAAATCATTTATATTCTTGGGATATAGACTTTTTCATTAACGTTGCTTGAGTTTATGATTTATCCTTCTATAATTTTATTTGTTAATTGTGTAATAATAAGTCTTGTTCCATTGCACAATCCACTTGATTGATTTAGATTTCGTAATAACTGTAAAACCCAAAATTTATTTGGGGTCAATTTGTAATTTTTAAAGACTTAAGTGTGAAAATTTTAAAAATCTAGGCCAGAATTCGAATTTAGAAGAAATGTGGGGGTCAAAAATAAAGATTTTAACAGTCAGCATGCCCAACCTGCTATTTAGTGCCACTTAGGCGTGTCTCTCATCCTCCAAATAGAAAACCCTCACTTTCCCTCTCTCTCTTCATTTTCTCTCCCCCTCTCTCTCTCTCTCTCTCTCTCTCTCTCTCTCTCTCTTTCTCCACGCACGGCCGACCAACCTCTGGTGAGATTTCGGCATCTGTTTTTGACACCTCCCGGCTCATTGGAAAGATCTCGTTGAGCTGAGTCCGGATTGGTGTCTTCCAGCCGCCAACTCTGCTGGACGACGCCACACTCACCGGCCAAAGTTTCGGAAAACACCCAAACTTCCTATCGTGATATCTTTGTTGTCCGATGTCTGATCGAGGTGATTCCGGTCCCAATAGACTCAGAGCGAAGAGACAAAGAAAACCATACTAGCAGCATGGCTTGATTCTAACTGGAGCATCACCGCCCGTGGTGGTCGGATTTCTCACTGCCGCCACCCTTGGATCTCCCTTCTCCGGCCGCCGTGAATGACACCGCCCAGCCCATTAGCTTCAGAGGGAGCCGGTGAGTCATTCTGGGCTACCAGCTGTGGTCACCGCCGCCGCCTTGCTAAAAAATGAGCCGCCGCCGCCGTGAGAAAAATGGGAGGATGGTTCCGGTGATCTAGCCATTGGATCCTCGTGATCTGGGTGTCAAAATGCTCAGAATCTCACGAGTAATGAAAGCCCTTAATCAATCTTGAAGATTCGTGGCTGAAAAATAAAGATTCAAGGCTCAAAATTTAGCCATAATTGAGGATCTTGATCTGAGTTGTTAAAGGCCGAATTCGGTAAAATTGACACCGCCATTGGATTCAAAACCATCGATTTAGGGGGGGTAGTGATGAGGACATTAGAGATGCAAGGAATACTCATGATCCAATCCAAGTTCGAGTTGGTCCGGTGACAATGTATCGAGCTAAAAGATTTAAAAAGGACTTGAATAACCTAGTCCAAAGAGTTCTACAACAAGAAGAAAGTGTGTTCACTACTGAGGGTGGACAAAGGCTAGTTTTGCTCATTAAAGTTGATCCGGAAGAGAGCTACTCAAGCATGGCAAAATTCGCATGAATCCCAAGGCTCACATGCATGAGAATGCTCTAAGGGGTTAGGCACACATTCCAGCAAGTTCCAAGAAGTTAGGCGCACATTCCAGCAAGGGATCAAGTCAAAATTGTTTAAAGTTAGGCGCACATTCCAGCAAGGGATCAAGTCAAAATTGTGGATTAAACATTTAAATTCCATAATAGGCGTTTTAAAAGGAAGGAATTAGACTCTAAGTCGGATTCCTTCCCTAAGAGTTATCTTTGGGCGATTGTATTTTGTTTTAGGAGTCTATCTTCATTTAGGCGCCTACCCCATTAAGGGTAGGATAAGACTTTTACAATTTTTAAACCTTTCAGCTTGTTTTCGGCTATTTAAGGCTAAAATCCAAATTTAATAAAAGGTTTTGATATTTTTATTCACATTGTGAGATATTCTTCTTGTGTTCTTGAAGAAACTATTATGAACTTATCAAGGTTTCCTTGTGGCGTTCAAACTTGACTTATCAAACGAATTTCCATACTCGTTTATGGCGACTTCACCATACCAAGGTTCTTGCTTCACTAAGCAACGGGTTGCGGTTTCCATCAATTCTTGAAGATCTTAGATCGTATCCCATATTTGGCTACGAGTTTCATCACATTGTTGGTGGGGTTCGTAGCAGTTGGTATCAGAGCTTAGGATCGTCAGGTTTTGCTATCCTTTTTCTTGTTTAATTGCGTTTTTTTTCTTTCCTTAGTAAAAAAACAACGCACATTAGGGTTAGGGTTTTCTCAAATAAAAAAAAAAAAGAAAACGATTAACCATTCCTTCCTTGTTTTGAGTTTGAGTCCAAACCCTACTGCTGAATTCAAATTCAACTAGGGTTTTACAAAGTCAAAAAAAGAATTCGGGAAAAGAAGCAACCTCATGAAAACTGCTATAACTTTTGATCCAGGAATCATTACGGGACGTATAATATATCAAATCAAAGATCTTTCAGCCCTACAATCTTCACCAAGGGTAGCCCGGTGACCCTATTTTTGGGGCCATAAAAGCTTGTTTTCAATAGTTTCGAAACCCTTAAAGTTTGAGTGTCAAGAAAAAAATTTCCGTGACAA